GTTGTAGCTTGTCGACGGCATGGCTAAGTCTACGCTGCCTCAACACAATGTGAATGAGGAGAAATAACGAATTGGGAGAACCAGCAATCCGTTGATATACTCAAAGAAAGAACATTCCATGTCGAGGGACAAAAAGGAGCATGGCGACGGTCGCGTATTCCCTGGCCGACTCGTATACACCCTCCCCCTTATATAAACATCTCTGCCTCTATCCCGTCTGGACTCTCCACTGGTACCTCTGTGCCTCTTTTTCTGTCTGGATTCTTCCTCTTTCATCTGCGTCTCCGCCTTTCTCCCGTCCGGACTCTCCTCACTTTCACCTATGTCTCTGTTTCTGTTCTGCCTGTATTCTTCATACACATACGTCTCTGCCTATCGTCCGTCTGGACTCTCTCATACAGACGTCTCTGCCAATCTTCCGTGCAAACCCTCGCAGCCGGCTCCGCGCTAGCAATTAGGTGCTTGGAAACGCCCTTTTTAACCTCGGATATGAACTATAAACTTATCGATTCGGAGAGTACGCTTTTCAAAAGGACCAGTGAGAACGGGCTAAATAGAATTAGCTGACCCAGCCCACTGACGTTTTCGAAGAACGCGCGACTCAGGACAATCGGCCATACTGATTCCCCTTCCTCACCGGTGATCGGACATCGCGGATTCCCTACACTAGCAAACTAAGAATACGGTCTGAAAGCACATACTTGTCTCTTCTTCGGTAACCGCCCTTCCGCTTCCAACTTTTGCCGTGCAGCTCTTCTTTTGAGGATTCGATGATACTGTCGAGCGTTCACGTATAAAGGCTCCTGAAATGCAACACCACGGCTGAAGTAATTACTGACAAGTACTCAAACAAGTAAATATCATTTAAATAAGCACACACCTCCTCCTTTGCCACAGGCGCTGACACCACCATGTATGTTGTCTCGCTAGACATATCTTCCTAAATAGATAAACAAATAAATATGAGCAAAATTGACAAAAAAATGAGAAACTTTCAGTAAACCTACATCATCCGCAATTTGTAAAACAGGTGCAGAACCGTGGGCAGTGGTAGGCTTTGAGGACGACGCCGAACCTACAGTAACACAGTAACTGGTTCTCCTTGCTTTTCAACACCTCTGAACCTCAAGAGCTCAACAAGTAACGCTGTTCCTACCTGTGTAAATGACGTTTTGCGATGATGAAGCAGTCGATGTTGAGACGGAACTCTGGACTGGGACGAATGAATTGGAATCCGTTAAAGTCATAAACTGCATCGGACTGATGCTGTTCAACGCCTGGGTCAGCTTAATAGTAAACATTTTTTCTTCGGAAAGTAAAAACCTGCAAAAAATTAAGTGCCCATCCAGTGGTTCCAGTTTTCGTGACTCCATATGAAAAACCGGCATGTCAGAGGGGTACTCCGTCTTTTGCTAAGTAACCGAAAAATCACTTAATCCAAAGAAAAGCCCCACAAAGAATTGGGCTTAAATTCGCAACAAATTGCCAAAAAAATTTACCTCAAAATCGTAACAATCAGACATGACAACTCTACAACCAGAGTTCGTGGTAACGACAAGTTACGAATGAGGACAATCATAGAGACGTCTGGCGAGTGTGACAGATGGCTGTAATTGGTGATCGTCACCAATTAACTAATAACATGCGTTTGACTTGCATGAACACATCCGAACACCACCACACTCTGTTGTAGCACACCAACCCCATTACCAGTACTGGAATCATCAGCTCCGCCTCCCTGATTCTGATTTACACAGCCCATTGAATCACTTCAAAGCCTTAAACAGGCTTCTAGAAAGAAAAAAGAAAAACATCAAACCGTAAATAAACAGAGTATTTGATAAGTAGCTTTGTGAAATTTTCCGGCCAAGTCATTCTTGTCGAACTTGCCACTGCCTGACTGTTTTTTGAATGAAAACCTAAGTAGTACTGATACAGTGAAGAACATGAATAAATATGTGCGAAAAACGAAGTTAAAATTCGTTATGACATTGGAAGTCAACGAAAAAAAAACACAACTATGAAGCAAGGCAGCGCAAATGTAGCCGTTAGGTACCGCGCGACGCCCAACTTAAACTACCATTGTATATCGTTAATTCCGAGTTGCGGCATCGCAGGCACCAGCGGACCATTCATCGGCTAGCTGACGTAACATTGCAAGCGATGTGACATGCACAAGATCCGTGGCAGGACCCAAGTCGCTCAAAGTGGCAGCGCCACTTCCTAGGTAGTTGAGGTTTTGCAGCGACCCTTTTCAGAACTAACGATATACACCGTGAGTTTCTCCCTAGAAGAGTTAAAGGCACAGTTCGCGACCGCAAATTGCGGGAAACGGAACTCAAATAGGCACAAAAAAGTGCTAAGTATCTGATTAGCGGAGAAAAGCAGCAGAAAAAGCAGTCCGAAATGTTATAGAGAAAGATAACATAGTGGCTACTAGCTAGTAGCTAGCAGCCGGTGAGGGTCGGCATGGGCCTAAGGGGTGTCCATGGGCCTAATTAGTCAGCTTCTAGCGGAGTTCTTGCCGTTTTTCACATTTTGAAAGTAGCGCAGCCTCAAAAATCGCCTTCCGGATCGTCCGACACATTTGAGAGGTCATAGCCTTATTTTATCGCGGAATGTGCCTTTAATGACACTCCTTATTGTTGCTGCCGGTGGCATTATCTGTGCGCTGGGTTGTG